CACGGACGGCAGGCAGGCACGGTGCACGCCTAGCCGGGCCTGGCTGCGGGGGCTGGGGGCACGGGGCTCCTGGAAGGTGTATGCAGCAGAAAGTCATCCACTGCCGTGCTACATAAACACCTCAATTCAAGCTAGAAACTTAGACCCAAAAACAAACCTAGTGAAGAGATCAGGCGCTCTGCACTTGGCCTTGGCACTCCAGACAGAAGTCAGGCGCTTTCCGTCAGAGACAAACACATATACATAATTTGTACATAAGCACACACACACACAGATGCACAAACACACGCCAGGTACCTGACAGTGGATTATTCATTGCAAGATTTCCTCCACAAGTATTCAGCTGTTTATAACAAACTTTCAAAATGTAAAACGTGGCTGCTAAACCAATGATCCACACATTTTGCTGAAGCATGTGTGTGCCAGCTCCCAACAGAAGCAGAAAGCTGCTCTCTGCTGACGCTGCCTACACTCCCTTTGCACTTTCAGCTTGAGCCCACTCCCTCAAACACCTTAGTCAAGGACGAAAGCAGCATCAAAAAGTCCAATCTCCATTCAAATTCCAGATTAATTCCAGACTTGGAAGCTAGATACTGCCCTCTAGGCTTAATGGTGCTGTACAGTGAACTGTCTTAGAACTTGAAAAAAAAAAATCAAGCATCATTTTTAATATAAACAAATGCTTCAAATGTATGACATATATTTGCTGCCTTCAAAGCGAAAACTTTTAACTCAGATGTTTGGCAGTGAGATCACACAGGATCAGCTCAGTGGACTGACTTAAGTGTTAAACTTTTTAAAAGAACGTCTTTAAGGGCTTGCACCTGCTCCCCCATCCACATAGATGTACTGACACGTATTTGACTAAACTGCATGCACGCCCAAACAAGCAAGCAGAGCAGATTTTACAAGATAAGCAACCAAGTGTTTTCATGTCTGAGGGTGGCTAGAACACAGAATTGCCAGTCGTCTTGCAGGGGGAAAAGAATGCCTTTGAAAAAATAGATAAATGGCATCATTTCAGATAGGGCAGCATGTATTCAATGTGGTCCTGTACACGGGTTTGTTCTTTATTTTTTGCTTTAAGTGTGGCTTTTTTACCTAAATTCAGTTCAATCTGCAATCATGATCCAGAAGAAACTCAATAGAGCTTTGCCACTCCAACCGTGGTCCCTGCTCGCGTGGTAAGGATGTCTCTCCAGAGTTTGTAAGGAACGCAGAGTCTCAACCGCACCCCAGACCGGGAGAGACAGAACCTACAGGACGCCGTGAGTCTGGGGCCATCGACGTACACAAAACACTTTCGCTGTCTTGAAAATATACTTGTTGACTTCAGACACAAATTGAAATCTAGGAAGTTTTATTTAGAACTGTGATCAGCAAAGGGAGCAGAAGTTCTCCTTGAAGCTTGCCAGGGCAAAGAAATAGAAACTTCTAACCTAGAAAAATACTACAAGGCTATCATTTATGTCAGCAGGGTGGAGGAAAGAGGAAAAGCAATTTCCCCGAGTGAGGTAGACATGCATTTCATTCCCTAGCTCACCTTCCTCATCCCAGGCAGAGAGCAACACGGAAAAGACATAATGTCAGGACATGCCTGCTTTGTTGGCTGCCAATGGCATGTCCCAATGACCACAGTTATTCTTCAGTACATGGCTCTGTCCCTTTGGCCTCAGCACAGAGAAAAGAGGCTGTGACACACAGCCAGTGGTGCTAATCTGCCACAAGACTACAGATAAGCAGTTTTTAAGGGGGTATGCTGTCCTCTTGATTGCACGTGCGATTGTCCCTCTGCATTGAAAACTGAAGGGAAAGAACCCACAGGTAGTGCAGACTCCCTGCAGGCTTTGCAGAGCATCTCTGTAAACTGCTGAGAGCTGCAGTTAGAGCAGAAATCCTGAAAAGATGGGAGCCCCTTGCCCTCCCCGCTTCCCAAGTTTTGAAGGTAAAAACTGTGAAGAGTGACCTGGGTGTGCAACAGAGGCTAAACCCAAGCCATGGCGAGGCAAGGACAAAAGCAGCTGACCACACGGTAATTGGCCTGGAGACAAGATCTCCAGAATTCAGAAACTGCTACATCTTGGCTTTGGAAAACAAACAAACAAACAACAACTCCAATTCTAAAATGATTCCTAACATCCTACACAATCGTCGATGAAATTCCTGACAGTGTCGTGGGATTAGTTACGACGCAGTATTTCTCAACATTGGAGCTACAGAAGATCAAACACGTTTCATCTTCTTTAAGAATACTGTTTCTCAGAGCTGCAGGCAGTTGAAGTCTTCAGTGACAACAAAAACTTTAAATTAAATGGAAACTAAAATCACCCATCTTCTCATAGGCAGTATATATTGCATGTGTCTGCATATGCACATATATAATGCATATTAATGCATATTGAGTTGATACTGTCAGAAGCAAGTTTATCCAAGACAATCAGAAAGAAACCAGGGGGCCTCGTGCGATAGCTTACTGGCTAAAATCCTCACCTTGAAAGAGCTGGGATCCCATATGGGTGCTGGCTCTAATCCCAGTGGCCCCACTTCCCATCCAGCTCTCTGGTGTGGCCTGGGAAAGTAGTAGAGGATGGCCCAAGACCTTGAGATCCTGCACCCATATGGGAGACCCAGAAGAAGCTCCAGGCTCCTGGCTTCAGATCATTGCATCTCAGGCCATTACTGCCACTTGGGGAGTGAACTATCGGATGAAAGATCTTCCTCTCTCTGTTTCTCCATATCTCTGTATATCCGCCTTTCCAATAAAAATCAACAAACCTTTAACAAAAGAAAGAAACCAGGAAGCAGAGACACAGGAGTGACAAATGGAACTGCTGAAGAAAATTCTTGTGCTGTACTGTCACACTCTCATCAGCAGAATCCAGACGTGGAGGAAACACGGGAGGCTGTTGTCCAAGAGATTGACCCTGAGCCACTTCCCAGCCAGTGGAGAAAGATGACCGATAGGAGGGATCCTGGCTCTGGGGCACTGGCTCTGTCTTCACCATCCTTACGCCCTCAGGAGCCACCAAACACGGCGGCAAAAAGCAGCTCAACGATTTTGAGAAGGCAAAGAGCATTACGAAGCTTCCCTACTGTCTTTGTTGAAAAATGAATAATAGCTACAGAACCTCAGAACACAGTTATACTCAGGGTCTTCAAAAGCCAACTCCTAGACGTAGGTGCTTACAACCTGGCCCGTGAACCACACCTTGCCTTTAAAGCCAGGGTCAAGGCAGGGACTAGGAAAGGACTTGGGTTTCACTGGTTGTAGCAGCAACCGGGGAACACTGAGTCCTGGGAATTGAACTAGCGGAACACAGTATAATAGTGAGGCTCTGTGGGTTCCTGGGTTTGATAAGCACATTCACGGAGTCTTCCTCACGTCTGAATCTGATTCCAACCCAGGGCTCGGAAGCCCAGCCACGGCTAAGTGCTCACTCCGACCAGCCTAATTTGACTTCATCCTGTTTGGGCTGCAGGCCAACTGGCAGATGTTCTTGAAGAAGCTGATCTCAGACACTTTCCCTTTCTAATTTTTTTTTGGCACCGCTGCCTCTGTTGCATGGGATATCATCTCAGAAACTATCTCAGGTTACCCAGGTTCTGCTTGTTTTGTAAGCTTTGGTTTCCCCTGCAATCTTTCTGTTCCAGAAAACCCCCTGTGGAAACACCGAACCACTGGTAATATCTTCACTGCAGATCCAACTCAGCAAATGATTTACCCGAATTTTTCCACCTTGCCCCACTTCCCTATGAAACACCTAACATCAGCACTAAACTGGTAACACAAGGTCCTCCCTGCGAACGCCATACCAATGCACCATGTTCACTTACAGCTTGGGCTTCACGGAAATGAAATGACAGAGCTTTGATATTTATTATTTGAAATGAGTTTTGACATTTGGAGGAGCACGTTCAAACACAACCTTGGAAGGAAAAGCAAGCTGATCAGAGATCAGGGGATGAACAGACAGCGTGATGTGCTCAATTCCTCCACGTGTGGGCCAAAGTTAGAAAAAACGGGCCCTTCAGAACACCCAGGGCTCCCAGACAAGACCAAGGTAAAATAGAAACCAGTTGGCAACTCCTGCCGAGGGCCACGAGACATCAACTTTAAATATACATGACCACAATGTCAATAATGAAGAAATCTTATGTTTTATTGAATATTTTGGCCAGGTCAGTCCCTTCAAAGGGATCACTAGTTTAGGAAAGAACAACAAACCATCATTCACTTTCCTGCAGGGTCTTTGTTCTCCAAATTATCTCTACTGGTCCTGTTTTACTCTTTGTGTAAATGAAGGGGTTGGGAGGGGGGCAGGGTTTCCATATTAGAGCAGTAATGTCTGATTCTTATCCAAATATGCCGCCTAATAAGGACGCAGGTGCTCACGGATTGGACAACCACTCTACAACATTCCTGAGAATTGAATAATATAATAATCTTGAAAGTCAGCAGAGTGGATTATCCATTTTTTTTGTGTGTGTGAACTTGAACTTGTGAACTTAACAGTAGCGCTGCAAAAAAGCAAATGTGCTAAGCACTTTGTAGAGTAACCTTCCATGTAGACTTCTCATCTTAAATACACACAACTGAACACAACTACAATTTTGGAAAATTATATACAAACCTGATATTTCTTTTGATTACATATAAATACAAATTAGCTATTTTTCCTAAAAAGTGGTTATAATAGTAAATAAATACAAAATAAATCTGACCATTATACTTCATGTGCTGGGGTTGAACCCATATAAAATGTACAACTAAATACATTTTAAATCTTTAAGGAATAATTCTCTGATTAAAATATTTGTTTTCCCAACTTCTTTTTGTAGATATAAATATATTTGCAAAATAGCTGTGTTTTTTTTTTCATTCCATTCCATAAATAAAGTCTTCATTGGGAAATATTAAAGTGTCAACTGGTTTTGTTTTTTTGTCTTTTTGTGTATTTTTCTCGGTTTGTTTTTGCTTTTTTTTTTCTAAAATATATATATATATAATATATTTATTTATTTAAATCCTGCTGTGCTAGCGACACCCACAACCCTCCACAACCATGTCCTGATAGTTCTTTAATACAACCTTTTCATTTTCATCAAGGTACAGCATGGAGATGGGGCTGAGTTCGGTCGGGACACAACACGCCTTGGGAATCTTGGAGTTCACGGAGTTGACCAAAGTCTGCACGATGGCGTGATTGGTGGAGTTGAGGTGATCAGCGAGAGGAAAGGGACACTCCCCGTGGCAATAAAAGGCGTGGTAGCCCGGAGGGGCCACGATCCAGTCATTCCACCCCACGTCGCTGAAGTCCACGTACAAAGGGTGTCTCTTACAGCTCGATTTGAGGCGTTTCCGCTGCTTATGTTTTGCTTGACGCTTTTCTCTTTTGTGCAGAGGGTGTCCCTTCCCGTCATGGCCAAAAGTTACCAGCAGAGGCCGGATCTGGGACCAGCTGTGTCCGTCTGGGTGCAAAGACCTGCTAATCCTCACGTGTCTCTTGGAGACACCTGGCTTCTCCTCCGAGTGAGTCACTTCCACCACGAAGCCGTGGTTGGCCTGTCCCTGAGCTGTCCAGCGCATCACGGCGGGGGTGACGTCAAAACTTTCCCATTGGCTGGTGTTCCCATTGACCAGCCTGGTGTCCAGCAGTCTGCTGGTGGGGAATTTCGAGTTGGCTGTTGCGGGTTTGATAATTTCATAAATATTAATTCGGTGATGGAAGCTGTTATTGTTGCCCAAAGCGTCCTGCATCTGTTCTCGGAAAACCTGAAGCTCCGCCGAGGTGATCAACTCCTCGGGGGGAATAGAAGTTAAATTAAAGAAGAATCTCCGAGTTGTTTTCCCACTTGTTTCTGGCAGGTCTTCCAAAGATTCTATTGGACATAGGACATGGGGATAAAAGAATGAGAAAAAAAAAAATTCGTCAGTGAGAAAAGTAAAGATGACCCAGAAACATACCAACATGCAGTTATTTATGAGAAGTGTTCAACTTTGCTACAGGATTGCGTTTACTTTGCAATCGGAAGATAAAATACACCCTTGAAGTGAAACAGCAGTCTCCTTTTTTCCATAGGCTCATGTCGACATGCACTTAATGGGACAAAATTTCATCATTAATTGTGATGCTTTTGATCCAGTGTTTGAACACAGCTCCCAGACTGCTATAATAATGGGGGAAATATTTCTTTGGAATTCACAGACTTTAGGGCAAAAAAAAAAAAAAAGTCAGCACTATAGTTAGTAGAGGTCTAATGAGTGAAGATTTGAGGAAATGATTGCATTTCTTTTTCTTTTTTTCTTTCTTTTTTTTTTTTTTAAGGGCTTTAATGTCAATCCCTTAAGCGGTATTCTAAAACATCACTCTGCAATTTAGGTGATTTACAAATCTCGATATACAGATTTCAGTTTCCTAATTAAAGACTATGAAACTCCCATTCACGATGACATTCTGCAAAGCACACCCTACTATTTTGCTCAAAAGTCCAGGGACAGAGGCATGGATGGGATCTGCCTCTTCGGGAACGTCTGGGTGGTACTAAGACACCACGGGAATTAAGACTGAACAATTCGAAGAGCAGTAGCTTTCCAAGTATTAGCTGTCCTCTCACCTTCTTATGACCTCAAAAATCAAAATCTCATTTTAGATGGTTGGGGGGAAGAAAGAAATGACTTTGTCTTCTGTTTTTAATTCTTGCATGCCTTAAAAGTCAAACTATATCAAAAACATACTTCTACCCAATCATAGGCTATAGCTCAGGAATAAAACTGCAAACTCGGAAGATTTACAAATGATCACTACGAGCCTCATGATAAAAGGAACAATCTCAACCTATTACAGACTAATCCTTCCACATCCATAGTCACATTCGTTATTTCCATTTAAGCGGACCGTGCATGAAAGTCTTCTTGGATCAAATGCAATTTTAACAAGTTCTGCGTTCCAAGCAGTAGTTGTTCAATACGATATGATATAGCTCTTTAAAATACGTACAGTCTGCAAACCATCAAAGTTACAATATTATCATTCAACTGATCGTGAACAACACTAGAATTTGAGATCTTTGCGCATATTTTCTTATAGCTTTACCACATCTGGTACTTTTTCAGCTCGAATGAAGTGCTAACAACAAATACAACTTGGCCATAGTTCCATGTCATCACCATACAAGAGCTTATATTTTTATTGGTCTCAGGGCCGTGCTTCTGCTACGGGCACACAGCGATCTACTGCTCAGAGACACCAACACGAGTAGCCGTAGGTCACCAAAGGCTCGACTGTGCGGACCTTCAGCTTCAAAGCAACATTGCCATTGCCAACCAGGCAGAAGCTCTGAGTTGAGATCACTCTCTAGAACACTGCTTTAAGGAGCCCTGCTCAAACTGCCCAAGTCCCACAACACAGACAGATACTTTAAAGCTGTCAATATCGATTCTGACTCACAAAATCCACTGTGCATTTCTAGCAGGTTCTCAGGGAGGGAAATGATGCTGTGAGCCCACTGATGGACCACACATTGAGAACCAAAGTCTTAGAAGATGCTTCCCACGCTCCAGTGTGGATGGTCAGAGAAGCATACGTGCGAGTGCCTCTTTGCTAAACAATATAAAAAGTAGCAGTGGTAGCAACACCAGTGGCCAAGGATGGGAGCTGGTATTGTAAATAGGCCAGCCAAGGATGTCCTAAAGCTCCTCTGTTACAACCTGCAGACCTTCGAGCCAAGCAGTGAGCTATCCATGGTCCCTTGGGGCCAGTTAATTCAAACCTCCCTAAGCCATATCTCAGGATCCCTCCACATACTAAATCCACTGCAAGCCAGTGACAGCTCAGACCAGACTAATTATTAAGATAACCTTCCCATCAACAGAACCTGGGCTCTTCTTGGCAGCTCCCAAGAAACACCAGAAGCTGTACCTAGCCTGCCCGCCAGCCCCTGTGCTTCAGGAGCTCTTCAATGTCTCTGTGCACGGCATGATTTCAGCACAGGTCACAACCAGCAGCATCCTCAGGCCCCAGTAACACCAAAGCCAGACCTGGGCCTTGCCCCCTGGCCTCCTGGTCCTAAGGCCTCCAAGAACACTCTCCCTAGTCTTTCCAAGAGATGGAAGGAAAGGCAGACTGCTCAGGGCATTTGCCAAACAGCTTTATGAGGGCTCACAATTCCTATAGCTATTCTGAATCTCAATCCACAATCACAAACATATGCCAATGTGCACACACACACAGCCAGAGGATAAAGATAGAAGGGCAATGTCTAACGGAACTGTCAAAGACAGGTCAACAAAGTGAGGATATGGGTACAACAGCAGAACATAGTAGGCCTTGATGGAATCAAATACACGTGCCATGCTCACACCAGAAACAGAGATTCAAAGTTTCCTTGGAAACTGCCTTAACAAAGGAGAAATCTTCCTGCAACTTTCCATCTGAACTTTAGTTACCCTGTCCTCAAAAACCCAAGCCCACACCAACACAAACGTGCCCATTTCAGCAGCACTCGCTGTAGAGTCAAGTCACAGAAACCTCTTACCCAGGAAATCACTCTTCTGGGTTAGCCCCCCCTTTAACTTCCTCCTCACACTCCCCCAAAGTGGGAGCATCGCCTTTTCTTGAGGGTGGAAAATTTGCAATACTTTATTTGTAATAAAGTAAAGCAAGAAGCCTTCTACAAATAGACACAGCAAGCCCAGCAATTCTGAAAATACAAACATAGAGCATTTATCTAAGCAGGCAAGGAATGCTTTTCTCAGAAGTCCATACGGTGGTTAATTCCCTGTAAATACCCCTTGTCCAAGAAGCTGAACTTGCTAAGGGATTTAAGCATTCGGACCTGCCTTGCGTGTGTGTGTGTGTGTGTGTGTGTTTGTGTGTGTGAGAGTTCCTATTCTTAAACAGATGGAGCTATGGCTACAAAACTGTAGGGAAATGAATAAAAACAAGGCAACAAAGACATTTGAAACTCTCCTTCAAAAACTAAATTCTTATTTACACATCAGCACCAGTCATTTCTTCATCTACCTCAAAATAATCCCAGAGGTGGAGCTGAAGTCGCTCAGCCTATCCAGGTCCACACTGGCCTCCTCTTCAACAGAGAAGGGGGCAGTAGCAAGAAGGAATCGTTGGGAAAATGGTGGCTAATGTGCCGGGTTCTTCTCTCCTGCCTGGTCTGGCACTAATGGCTTTCTACAAATTATCTCCCAACAGACTGAATAGTGAGAAACTATGCCTGTCTCCGTTCTGCTAATAAGACGATTGGTCCTAAGAAATGTCACTCAGTCTTCCTAAGGCTACAGACCTGATACATAACGAACAAAACTTAGGACTTGAGCTATCTACAAGATCCTGCTCTTTAGCCAGCATCGAACAGTGGAAGAAGAATAAAAAACCACTAGGGGCACACTGAATGCAATGAGAGCCCTGGGCGAGTTTCATTTCAGTTGAAGGAAGCAAAATGCACCTGTACCCAAGTGTGGCGGAGCCAGCAGGCTGCAGGCAACAAGCAGGAAAGCCCAGTGGGAAAGCTTACTAGGCCTTGGAGGCATCGTGTGGACACCACTGTCCTTTGGGATTTTTTTTTCCTGTCCTTGAGTGTGATAAGGTTTACCAGGAAAACACTAACCCATGATTCTGCTTAGCGAGTTCAGCAAGAGTCTTCTGACAAATGAAAAAATACAACTTCCGTTACAATAACAGAACCTGGTTTAGTTTGGCAAGTCAGTAGTGTTGGAAATGAGAGCTCGAAAACAAAATAAGCGCAGATGCACCAGAGTTTACAAAAGAAAAAAAGTAATGGTTCCAGAACTGATACAGCAACAGGAAACAAAGTAGAAAATAGTTTAAATAACACATATACTTTTAAAAGACCACAGAGGAACTGTCCATGGAAGAAGGAAAGAGCCTGGTCCCTGTTGCCACCAGCAGCCTGGCCATGGCTCTGCCCGTGGCTAGCTCCAATGCTTCCGGAATGAGCTGCTGCCCATTTCTTATCAGCTGACTACTCACCGAACTATAACAAAGGTTAATCCTAAAAACACAGAAAATAGCTCCAAATGAGACTTTAGGGGAGCCTCTAGAAAAAGAGGTGGGACAGAAACCCACAGAAGGAGCATGGGACACCTGAGCCTTGATCTCAATGAGCAATGGCACTGAAGCGGCCGGGGGCAGGAGGCGTGCACACCGCACAGGGGTTTAGGTATTTGGAAAAGCACTGGCACGTGTGAGACACTGTCTTCCTTCACAAAGAAAGTGGTCGTCTCCTGACCCTGACTGTTACAGCCATATTCTCAGCACACTGATTTTGCAGACACTGTCCAAAAGCTGCAGCCACAGAGACAGACCAAGGCAGTAGTGCATGCAATGCATGGAGGCTCGAGGGTGGTCCTGCCATGCTCAGGGTGCAACCTAACTGAAAAGCACAAATGATTTTGCTGTCTTGAAGTTCAACCCATCTCTGGGTGCTTCCCATGCTGGCGGTACTCAGACGCTCTGTCCACGTGAAGAACTGAGTTTTCTGTCCTTGATGGCAGTTCCGACAGGCCTGTGTGGCGCACGTGTTTCTAATGACTTGGAAAGACAGACTATGAGGGAAGCTTCTCTCCAGAATAAAAGTGCAAGAGGAAAAGTGACAACAGATGACGCTGCTGTCCTGAATCACCCTGTCATGTGGTTCCATCACAGACTGAAAGAATGCCATCATGATACTGCTTGTTTGGTGATTACCAAACTATCAAATCTCCTACTGTCATCCACCACAACCCAACAGAAGCAATTCTTGCAACAGGGTCTTGGGGTCCTTTACCAAATAAAAGCCTATGAATGCTTTGTAAATGACACTCTACTCCTGAGCCATCACATGGCTTATTGAAAAAGTTTAGAGGCACAAGGATGCTTAAAAAAATCAAGCCACAGTTACACAACAAAGAACCGTCTTTAAAACGTCCTGCATCTGGCTTAATGATAGGCTAGTTGCAATGAGAAAAGATGCAGATTTGTTGAAAGCTGGGGCAAAAAAAAAATTGCATAGCTTTTCTCTATCATCTCATTCCATTAAGATCTGCAAGGTGATTTTAAGCACATTGGTAACTTCTGAACTGCCTGCACATAAAATTTACACTTTGAAACATATCAAGTAAAAATACAAGCATTCCATTGAAGTTGAACTAAATTACCATCTACTGACTGTGTGCAGCTTTCTGAAGACTGTACAATGAACTTAACTATAAAATGACTTCCTGTAGACTGTATAACCTACTTAGAGTTTGATCAGGACATTTCCAGACAAAGGTAACAGACACGCCTTATTGATGAAACAGCCATGCACCCGATGTGGCAGGTGTTTACTGATCTTTAAATGATCTTCCTTGTAAAGGTATGAGAAAGATACCATACCCAGCCTTCCAAAAGGCAGATAAAGGGGTCTCCCACACAGCCAGGGCTGTGCCTTCTTTATCCAGAAATACTACTTGAATTGACATCACCTGGTAGCAAGCAGGCAGCTCTGTAGCCACCTTGCAGGACCACTGACAGAAGACATAGGAAGGAAAACCTTTCTGCAGAAGACAACATCAGCTATCAGGGGCTGAGCTCTGAGCAGGGCAAGCAGGATCCTGTGGCCCTTCAGATCCCTCTGGCATCAGCAGAGAACACTGCGCCTTGCAAGGTGCTGCAAGGGGAGCCAGGAACCCCCAGCTCCCTCCCGCAGGGCAGGTGCCCAGGAAGAAGTACCTTTTGCAATGCAACCTGCCTCCAGTTCTTCTTCCCACTGTTCTTAAAAGGGCACTCACCCTTCCAGCTGGGAGAAAACTTCAGATGGGTTTCTGACAGAAACCAGCCATTGCAGCAGACCAGGGCGAAGGGATTGTCCTCCAGGCAGGAGGGATAGGCAGCCTCATTCTCCTTTCTAGAACATAAAGCAACTCCTGCACTCCCTAGAACCATCACGGCAAAAGCTCACTTAGAAGAACAGAAAAAGAACAGAGGTGCAGCTTGTTTGACTAATGGCACAAAGAACTTGGGTGCCACAGATCTCCACAGCCCCGCGAAGACAGTTCAAATCCACTAAACGCCTTTCTGATGAAACCAGCAGAAATACCCTACCCTAGAAAAACCACATCCAGTACCATTAAAAAAAAAAAACAACAACCAACAAACAAACACCTTCCAGGGCTTGTGAAGCAAAAGGCAGCTCCTGCAGCCTTTTGGCTTTATCTGAAAAGGCTTGCCTGGTCTATACTGTGAGCCTATCTTAGATTTAAGCAGGAGACAAGAAAGTCATTGTGGAAACAATAAGATTGATTGTGGGATGGATCTCCCAAGGGGATTAGAGGGGGATTCGAAATCTTCCAAAGCAGGCCCAGATCAGCTGTAAATTAGGAAGCCTCTGCCCCCAGCCCCCACCCCCGTTTCAAGACTATCTCTGAACATTCTACCCTCGCTCTGTCCAACTTGAAGCTCTGGCTTAAGCCCGAGGCGCAGATTTACAGCGCCAAGGGCTGCCAAGAGGGTTTAGAGAGGTCCCAAAGCTCTCTCTCCTTCTCCCCAGCCACCTGAGGAACTACTGCAAGCTCAGCTGACCTGGGGCAAGCCCTACAGCCTCCTCTGCCCCATCACTAGATTTCTCCCTAGGCGCCTGGAGGGAAGAGTGGCTGTCCTGGCTGCAAGCCAGGAACAGGGTGCGCACCGACCCACGGGGAATCCCTGGCTCGCCCGCCGCACCAGCGATGCGTGAACATCAGAGACAGCAGCCTCAGCGCCCCGGCCACCCTGCCTCTCTCCAGGGACGCTTGCTGCCCGCCCGGGTGAGCAGCTCCGCAGGGTGATGGCCAGCCTCCGTCCCCGCCCCTGCTCCCAGCGCCTCGCCTTACCTTCGTGGTGGAAGCTGCGCACCGTGTTGGCGCGGCTGGCAGCCCGCTCCAGTCGGTGGTCCGGGGCGGGAGCGCCGGGCTGGCCCGAGTGCCGGCGGTACAGGTCCAGCATGTAGGGGGGCACCACGGCGTCCCTGCTGGGGGTGGGTCTCTGCTTCAGACCGAACATGCTGAGCAACCGCAGCTCGAACTCGCTCAGGATGTCTTCCGAGGGTTGGGACGAGGGGCGACCCGCCGCTGCCGCCGCCGCCGCCGCGAACTTCCTGCGGCCCAGCTCCGGGAGGAGGCCGGCCGCGCCGCCCAGGAGGACCTGGGGAAGCAGCAACGCTAGAAGACAGCGGGTCCCGGCCACCATGGTCGACCTGCGGACAGGGCCGACGTGAGTCACCCAAGTTCCCCGCCCAGCGCTCTCCCTGCCCGCCTCCGCGGCGGCCTGGGCTCCCGTGGGGGCGCGCTCGCCGCCGCCGCCTCCTCCTCCAGGGTGCCCTCCTGCCTTGCCACCCACCCTCGCCGGCTACGCAGGGGCGGCCCAAGTCTGGGGGACAGGACGGAGGACTCCAAGATCCTGAAACAGATGCGCGCGCGCGCTCTCTCTCCTACCCCTCACCAGCCCGTCTGACACTTGACTTGGAGGTTGGCCTCTTCCCTCCCTCTCTTCCAAATCACTTCAGAGGCTGTCACTCCCTACCCCTCCGCCCCTTTCCTGCTGCCCTGTGACAGCTAGTGCGGGGACCTGGCGGGGCTGGGGGGGAGCACCGCTCCGTGGGACACACGGCGAACTCGCGGCACTCACTTGCCCATAAACACGCACGGCCCGCGCATGTGACCTCACGGCATCCGACTTCCTGATCGCTGTCTACACTCCTAACAGATCCCACACACTCCAGGCCACCGCCGTCTGGAGCCCCTGGGCCTCTGGGGCTGCCGGCCGCTCCGTTCCCCCCCTCCCGACCCGGGGCGGTGCAGTCACAGCCGCAGGTACCTTCCCGGCATTACGTAAAGGGCTGACGGCCACGCGCGCACGTGTCATCTGTTCGACACGCAGCCCAAGTGGGGCACGGGGCCACCCCTCACCGTCCGCAAGCCCTCTCCCCAACCCCGTGCCTCCACCCAGAACTTTTGGAGGACAAGCCGGGAGAACCCCAACTTTCCTACAGGGGACGTCGTTAACTGACTGACCGAGACGGTCCTACCCCCCAAAAGTGGCTGTTAGCGGGGGGGCGTCCCGACTGGCAGCTAACGGGGTGAAAACCAAGAGCACCCTCTTACCCAGGCAGTTCTCTTTTTTATTTTTTTAATCCTCTAAGTGTTAACAGCCTTAATAATATACGGAGAAGGGGAGAGGAGGAGGGGCGGGGACGTGCTGGGTCGGCAGGGTGAGGACGCTGGCTGCAGCCCCCCCAAGTTGGGGGGTGCTGTGCCGAGGGGCAGGGGGCACCCAGCGGAGCTGTGCTGCACGTGGCCCTGGAGAGGGGTTCTGTTTACGTCTCGCCCGTCGCGCCCCGGGGTTGCCCGGCCGCTGCTGGCATCCCAGAGCCCAGCGCCCAACTCGCCCCCGGCCCACGCGCGTCGCGTACCTTTAGGAGACGGCGGTCCGTCTAAGAAGCCCGCGGGGACGCGTCCATCTAAAGAGCCTCTGCATGGAAAAAGCTCTGGCCCAAGGACCTGGCTCGGGGACCGGGTGTCCGTCGTCTAGCCCTGCCTCCGGCTTCCCCTGCCGGCGCTCGCTGCCGGAGTCCCTGGGGTCGCCCTCGGAGGGAGCGGCGTCTCGGGCTCGGCCCGGCAGAGGGCTCGGAGGAGGCGAGGCAGCTCGCGCCTGGGGCGCAGGCACCGGCGCGAAGCGAGGAGCAGCGCGAGTTATTCTGCAAGTTCAAGAAGTCTCCAGCCAAGTGCTGACACACAACAACAGCGAGCAGGGGGAGGAGTGCGCGCGGGGAAGGGAAGGGGAGGCAGAGAGGGAAAGCTGTGGCTGTCGTCGTCCTCAGGCACCAGCGCCCGGGGGACGCGTGGCCGCGCGCGGGACCGCCGGTGGGACTCGGGGGGCGAGGGTAGGGCGCTGCGCGCTAGCTCCGCCGCGGCCCATGGTTCGGGGCGGTCATCCTGGGCGACGCCGGGTCCGGGGAAGGGCACAGCGGCGATCTCGGTGCCAGGCCACTTGCTGCCCCCCCGCATCACTCTGCCTGACTCCAGCGTACCCCCATCAGCGCTCTCCAGTGGAAACCGCCGCAGCTTCGGCGCCCCGTCGTCCTCGGGCGCATTCTTCCCGAGTCCAGCCGAGTCCCGGGTCGCCGAGGCGGATGGCCGTGCTCTCCTAGCCCTTCGGGGGCCAAGTGTCCTTTGTGGCCAGCCTTGGGTGGTGGTGGTGGTGGTGGTGGTGGGAAGGGTGGTGGGGGGTCCGATCACACCTCGGCTAGTACGTCCCGGGTCCCCGATCCCCTGCGGGAGGTGCTCGGCATCCCGGCTCTCGGGTTTGGCTGCGCGCACTCTCGGGAGCCCTGCGAGCTACTCCGCGGCTCCGGCTCGGCCCCGGGCAGCCGAGGCCACAGCGCTGCGGCGCGCCCGGCCGGGTGTTCCAGCCCGCGCGGTGTCTTTGGGACGCGGGTGCCTCGCAGCGCCCGGGTAGTCCGTGCGGCGCTCGCTCGCCTCCGAGGGCGCTCGGCTCGCCGGCTGCGGCTGATGTCCGGCGGTGGCGGTTGCCAATCCCCGGCCGGGTGTGGGAAGCGGAGCGGCGGGCGCAGCGCGAGCCGGGCGCAGCGCGGCGGGGCGAGGACTCCGGCGGCGACGGCAGCGGCGGCGGCGGCGCCGTGGCGCGGCGCTCGCAGCTTTTAAAGGGGACGCCGCCTGCTGGCTCCCTCCCGGCCGCGGCCCAACACCACCCCCTCGGCGGCGCGGCTCGCCGGGGATCCCCGAGCGGGCGGGAGCAGCGCGCAGGGGTGTGGACGGCGCGCCGAGGGCAGCGGCGGCGGGGTGGGGCGAGCCGGGGGCGCGCGGCCGCCGACGGGGGCGCTCGAGCCGCCGGCCCCTGCCCACGCGCGGGAGATGCCCGAGAGCGCTCGCCCCTGGCGCAGATCGCCGGGGCCCAGGGCCGCAGGGCGCGAGGCAGGGGCTGGCCCCACCGGGCCCGTTATTCAAGTCTCAATTCCAACTTTTTTTGTTGTTGTTTTTGGTCAGAGATGACTGAAGAAGAAGAAGAAAGTTTGACCAAGTTGCAAAGCATGTTGGCGTGGACGTGGGTGGACGCCTCCCTGTGTCTCCGCGGAGGGGGCTCAAGTTAGAGGTTCGAAAGCCGGTGAATATTTAACACAGAGAGAGATCCAGGCAGTTCCCTAAGTGCACGTTTGCATTTACACAAATTCGCTTGTGCATTGGCATTCCAATGTATGCGTGCGTGTGTTCACGTGAACACACCTAACCCACACGTGTGAAATCACGAACGAAGGCAAACTTGCCAAGAACCCAGGGTCTGTGTGCGCGCGCCTCGGGCGCCTTTTCCTATGCGCGACACGTGTAAGGTGGGCTGTGCGTGCGGCCGCGGGAGGGAGGGGCTGCCTGGAAACTCAGTTGGTTTTATAGAAGCAGTGGCCCCTTCCGTGGGCGTGGGGGGCAGGCTAAGCAGCTCAGAGGAAGGTAAAACAACTCCGGCTGGGAACCTTGCAACCATCTCTCCCGCAACTGGGGTCCCCAGAAACAGCAGCACAGTGTCCACTGGCCAAGTCACTTCTCCCTCCACTGAAATGCTCCCCTATGCCGCCGCACCTTGCCTCCCTAGAGGATTTCTTTTCCATCCCCGCCGGGATGACCGGAGCCTGCAAAGCATCCGTAGCACCACCGGTTTGGCCAAAGGATCCCGAAAGCCAAGTGTGGAAAATTTTGGAAAAGGCCAGATGGCCCCAGAGCTTCGGGATCTACACAGCACAGTGAAAAATCAGGAGCTTGGAGCTATTCAGTGGCTTGTCACCCACTTGTATTCCCCCCCCCCCACCTCCTTTCCTTTGGGGAACTAAAATAATTCTAGGTTCCGCTCACGTAAATCGGATTAGCAACCCACAGAGCGGAATTAGGCACTGGCTGTTTCTAAAGGTATAAAGGTCAAATAAGGTATTTTGGAGGAAGCTTGCCTGCTAGGAAAATAAGGTGGAGGAGCAAAATGTTCAGGAACAGGTTACTTTATTCCCTTAAAGAAAATAGCTCCGTGGAGGCTGGTTCGGTCTAAAGCACTGAACACCCGACAGTAAGCACCGAAACGCACTGTGCACACGCGCGCCGATGCCAAAAAGTGTTTATCTTGCGTCTAAAGCTGTTTCCTTCCCTATCAAGTTGAATTGAGAAGTTCACAATTATTTCTGTCATCAGTGAGATTTAAACAACAAGGCAAAACGAAACCCATCTGAGACTTCAATCCGTTAGAGAGGAGAAAGCTGATAGCTGCTGGATGAGCCCCAAGGAAAGATGAAAAAATAAATGTCTGGTGATGATATGAATTGAAGGCTGTCTTGCAAGTTTGGCCTTCAGAACTTGGGAAAGGGAAAACTCAGCAGGATCCTAAATGATCTTTGCTAGGGAAGAACTGGACTCAAAAGGACTGACCTTGCTAAGCATTCAATCCCACTTCAGTGCTGTCTGTCACAGGATCTCCTGTATGCATGGCCTGCGATTTCCCAAGCACAGCCTTCTCCTAAATTTTGACCCTACTTGCCTCTTTGAAGAGCGTGGCGCTCCCAGCGTGCTGTTTTTAGGAGATGGCTGCCCTCTTGTGGTGGAAATGAGGTCGTACGCTCAGGAGAACTCAACATTTGAGTGGTCTTTCAAAGATGGATTTGAGCTACAAGAGTACAGGGTGACTGTACCTTCTCAGTTTCCAAGCAGCAATCACCAGAAATGAATGTCTTTAGACAGGTTACTTACTTTGAATTTTTAAAAGTGATTTAGATGGCAGAGACAGAGATACAGAAATTGAGAGACCTTCCATGTGCTGGTTCAGTCGCCAAATGACCACAGTGGCAAGGACTAGGCCAGGCTGAAACCAGGATTCAGGAATTCAATCCAGGTCTCCCACGTGGGCGGCAGAGACCTAATCACCGCCTCCCAGGGTGTGCACGAAGCTGGAACTGGAAGGAGGGACTGGGACTTGAATTGGACATGGAATGCCGGAGCTCCACACGGTGACTTAACCTCTATGCCAGGCACCTGCCCCAACTTCCCTTTTTTTTTTTTAATTCCCTTGGCTAATTGCCACTTTGCACCTGCAGCTCAGAACGCAGAGTTATTTAATCTTCAGAGGTGACAGTGTCTGTTTGCTTTGAAAATCTCACATATCACTAGTCACGGTAGACTTGGTCTTTTCCAACGTTTTTTA